GAGAGAGAGAGAGAGAGAGAGAGAGAGAGAGAGAGAGAGAGAGAGAGAGATACACACACACATACACGCACACCCAACGATCTTAAATAGCGCCCGCTAAACCATGAGCTAACATATGTGAGCGCGATGCCGCCGCTGATATCTCAGTCTGCAATAATTTAAAATGCTCGTGCCGTAACCATTTTCCTCTCCAATTCAATATTTTAAAACCGTTATCTACATAGCGCTATCTCAGACGAAAGGGTTTGCTCGTTGCTTCGGGGTTTGCTTCTAAAGAAACTAAGTACATTTTTAAACGAGACTCGCAGTCAATATTTCACCTACGTTGTTTAACGGCATTGTTCAGTCCGCCAAGCGCCTGGCTAGCGCTTTAATAACGCACGCCGCAAGTGACGAGTACATCAAGGAATTCAAGTAGAGCCAGTCTAATATAAGACTCCAATCAACAAGAGTAAACACTTCCCAAATGCATTCTGTCATTTGAATAATTGTGGCCTACCCTTGAGGGAAATGGCAAGAAATGGCACAAATCACAGTTTGCACTTAAGGAAATAATTACGGCTCTAATGTACCGCGTACTGCATTCGTATCGGGAAGGCATCGTGGTCAACGAGACATATGTGGCGTGTGTTCGGTACCGGCTGTGCCTGGACGTGGCCCGCCACGTAACATGGAGATTTGCAGATTTTAATGCGACAATAATTGCGTGTAATTTCCGCCCGTGCGACCCCCTCTGTCCGCGCATAGTGGCACTAACTAATAACGGGTGCTGCGTTTTAGAAGCCGCGGCAGTCGGTATCTTCACGGGATGCCCGCAGAAACCAGATGGGTGCGTGCAGTGAATGTTGGTCGCTGTTGACAAATGTACAGCCGCGTGTTATATAATAATTAGAGCGTCGAATAGTGCCTTCAAACTTTGTTGGGTTTCCTTCGTCAATTAAATACTGTTAGCGCTGTGACACTCGAGTTCGAGGTGTTCATCCGTGTTAGTGTTTCGGCGGAAAGCGTTGTTCCGCAGATGTATATCTTTAACTAGCTTGGGTACCCGGCGTTGCCCGGGGAAAAACTTGTAGAGCGAATTCGGACACATATGGACAAATTCTAGGGATAGAGTCGTAACAGAGAAACAAAATATAAAGGGTTAAACAATATTCTGACGAAAACAGTTTTAAAGTTTCTATGATTACAGCAACAACGACATTCTACGACATTTCGAAGCGTTCGTACTTTTGATATTTCAGTTGCTTTTAAATTGTAGTTTTAAGTTACCTAACAGTGTGGCAATTTTGGGCATCCAATTTGGCTTAACCAATAAACGGCGGAATGCGTAGCAGACAGACAGACAGAGAGACAGATAGAGTTCGTTCTCGTAATAGTATAGATTGTTAAAGTATATCAGGGGTACAAAATTGTCATTATTAACCCCTGAGTATAATATAATATATATATATATATATATGTGTGTGTGTGTGTGTGTGTGTGTGTGTGTGTGTGTGTGTGTGTGTGTGTGTGTGTGTGTGTGTGTGTGTGTGTGTAGTGTGTAGTGTAGTGTGTGTGTAGTGTTGTGTGGTGTAGTGTGTGTGTAGTGTGTGTGTAGTGTAGTGGTAGTGTCGGTAGTGTCGTGTAGTGTGTGTAGTAGTAGTGTAGTGTAGTGTAGTGTAGTGTGTAGTGTACGTAGTACGTAGTACGTAGTAG